GCAAAGTTAGCACCTCTACCTGGAAACCAAAGAGCATTCACTCCTGATTATTCGAAACCAATCATCTTTTTACTCAGCTTTCAGTCAAGCAAAACAATCGTACAAAAGTTCTCTTGATTGCAGTTTATGCAGTTCTTGCAAAATGATTGCAATTCTGTTCTTTTTCGATTTGCTCCTTCATCAGCGTCATTTTCTCTTCCTTGTTAGCTTGTCCTTCGATTTTTCATTGCAATTTTCGTTATCAATTTTGTATGTGTTGAACATAGGTTTTCCAAGCACGGATGCGCTTGCTACTGCGATGGCGTGATGCTGTGTTTATTTATAATGTCATGCCAGATGATAAACTTATGTATTTTCTGGGGTTTTTCGGCGGTAGGATTTAGACTCAATCCGGGGATAGCAGTCGTAGTTCGTAACTTTTTCGGGTATCATAGGGTTTGGAATTGATGGTTGATGGCGGAGCAAGTGAGCTAGCGTCTACAGCGTATATAGTGAAATTCACTTTCTGGAAACTTTTATCTTAAGGACACCCGGCAGGATTTTTATTTTTAGCCATAAAAAAACGAAATATTCTGACCAGTAACACTAATAGTATAAAATCACTACATAGTAGCCTGATAAACATAGCTTATATATCACATAGCCACCAAGTCCGAAGAAAGGAAATGAGTTCAGAGTTCCAAATCAAATGCTGATCAAATATGATAAAGTTATTAGATAAGAGGTTGATAGAAATCACAAAGCGATAAAACTTGTTTCAGATACTGGTTCTTTGACACTGAATTACACCTCTTGTTTTTGCTTTGTTTCAATTTAACTCACCTAGTAAATTCAAGTTAATGGCGTTTTTATAATTAGGAAGTTATTCTAAGTTAATTGGTAAGATAGTTTTCGAAAACCCAAAATAAACACTAGTTCCGTTCAATAAATGACTTATTGTAATAATTTCCTTTGCCAACAACTTATAACTATCTGATCAAGTTAATGAGTCGTATTGTTTCTACTCGTCTTATTAATTTTCAATGTTCTATTTTTTCGAGGTCACTTGTAATTTCTGGCTACAAAAGTTCACGGCGGTCAGATATTAACCCCCTAAGGACTTGCAATAGCTCGGCAAGCCAAGTCTCTTTCGAAACCAACTCTAAGCTAAGGAGTCTCCATTCGAACAAAGCTGCGACACCAAAATGGAATCGGGTTCTTACAGAAAATTCTATGAACCAGCGCGTGAAAACTGTACCTTACAATTTGTGTGAAAACTTTGTTAAAAAACAGACCAATTTTTCAAAAGTAGCAGAAAATGGCCTTTGTTTTGACGGAGTTTTTAATACAGCTAGTTGCTTGTCAGAAAAACACGCAATGCCGCAGAAACCGATCACCTTTTTGAGGCAGGTACTTGCAGCGTGTATACATCCGGAACTGATGGGCAGAGACCCGGCTGTTTTTCCCAGAGATGTTGAACAGCGAGCAGTGGAGGTAAGCTTCGGTGTACACTGAATTAAAATAACACTCATTATAACTGTGATTTAAAAGTATACGATACTTTTCACAAGTGCTGTATCGCGATTATAGTGCTATTAAAAAGTTCCGTTAATTTTTTTTGTTTAAGAAATTCGTTAAACTTAGTTATTTGAAGTCTTTTTCAAAAAAATTGGTGGTTCAGCTAAAATTTCTGTTCATGGCACCAGGAGACATACGGACTGACTCGTTGAGGAAAAAAATGTTTTTTTTGTTTTCATTATAACTTAAGACTCATAACAAAAACTCATAAATTTAATATGTTTCACTTCACCCCTGGTTAATCTTTCTTGATACGCCAATTTGATTTGTCTGTCGATTTGATTTGAAGTTTTTGTCGGCTTATTTATGCAAAACAGCGACTAAAACTACTTGTGGTGAACAGGTCTTGGATGAGCTTCCCGGATGCAGTTTGGGATCTTACAGTGAGAGCACAGGTTATATGTACTGCCGCAAGAAGGTCAAAGAGTTCATTGAACTGCGTGACGGATTTCCTTCTGACGTGAACAACATATGTATATCTGGAGGCTCGACTGAGATCATGAAGATGACCCTTAATGTTGCAGTTTTCGGTGCGGGCAAAGAGAGAACGGGCATTATGATTCCGACTCCTAAACACCCTCTCTACTCGGCTTTCTTGACTCAAACTGGAGCGACAGAGGGGGGTAGATTACAATATCAGGATATTTTATAGCTTCTCGTTTATAATTGAAACGTGCATAAATTTGATCATAAAGTTTGTTCAGTTTTTGGGCCTAAGTTGGGTGTGTGAATCAAGTGAAAATGAGACAAATATGGGCAAATGGCAAAATGCTTTAATACTTTGAAATTTTATTCGAGGCCCGTCATGATCTATTTTGTTAGCGAAGTAAGATAATATTTGAAAAGATACAACAAAAAAAGCCCATAAGGAGCATTCATAAGCATTACAGAAATTAATCTCAAAAATCTCTATAAATCTAAACTCTGGTCGATTTAGAGATCCTCATGGGTTTGAAGAGATTTTCTAAAACATCTTTCGATAACTGTGGCCAGAACCCAGATCACTTTTTTGCTACCTACTCGCGGATTAGTATCTGATATTGTAATTGATCTTTGAAAGATCGGCTACTGCCTTGCGGATGAAGATAGCAGCATATCCCTTAACCTTAACGAGCTGAAGAAATCGTACAAAAAAGCCCTTAAAAACTGTACGCCAAGAGTTTTGTGCATTATAAACCCTAATGCGAATGGTCATGGTTTAACTAGAAAGCGCATTGATGATGTCATAGAATTTGCAGCAACGCATAAATTGATTTTGATGGCCGATGAAGTTTATCAGCCAAGTACAATCAATCCTGATTTTGAGTTCTGCTCTTTTAAAAAAGCTCTAATGGAATCGGAGTTTAAAGAATCACTGGAGCTGGCATCATTTCATTCCATATCTAAGGTAGGGTAGTCAGAATGTAAAAAAAAGTTTGTTAGAATCCAAAGTGGGGAAATTTGTTTGCTGTTTTTCAAACAAATGAAACTAATGCTGTCGTTCGAAAATGCGCAGTTCATTTCTCTTACAGATCAATTTTCAGTTGAGCAGGATCAGAAAAATTTTATCTCGGAGCTAGATTTTGGATGCTATGTTTTTCAGATGTTTTCATAAGCACGGTTCATAAGCACAGTTTACAAGGGTAAAAATCTTTAGGGCGTTGGTCCTAGACAGACAACTGTTTCAATTATGGAAAATGCCGTAAATATTGCTGCTAATGTCTGCTGGAATGTTTTAATTAATTTTAAATTCGGCCATCTTCCCTTTTTAAGGGTTTTATGGGGGAGTGTGGACTGAGAAGCGGCTATGGGGAATTCGTGAACTTTGACCCTGATGTCTTGACTCTGATGACAAGACAATTGTGCTCTTCATCTGTTGGACAGGTGGCTTTAGGGGTCATTCTGAACCCACCAAAACCAGGAGATGAGTCATACGAGTTATTCGTGAAAGAACGTGACGCTATTTTGAAAAAGATGGAAAACTGTAGACGACAGAATTTGCAAAGATCTTGACACTCATTTTCTTAGCGTATATTTAAATTTGGGAATGCTGGCAAATTTTTTTTTGCAATTCTAACTTTACTGCTAGGAAGAAAAAAATTTGGTATACAGATCATTATCGAATGAGATTAAAAAGTGACAATTATAGAGGAACGGCATTTAAAAGTCAAGTCTTGTCTTTATGAGATTTCTGTAGATCAAGCATCTTAAATCTCGAAAAAATTTATATTGGATTTTTTTCGACTGTTTGTTGTTATCGGAGGAAGAATATAATGATTAAGCTATGAAATATTTCTCATCCCTAAACATCTCCCTCAATTTAAAATGAAATGTAGGAAAGGCACTTTTGCTTGACGCAGAATAAATTTTATAAAAGTCAGTATATCGATAGATCGATAGAAAGCTTTGATGATACCACCGTTATATTGTTCCTGGGTATTCCTGGGCTCCTCTCCTAACACAAGTCCTGCAAGCGAGGGTGCAATCTTAGATTGCAGGAGCGCTACTTCGGCGACCATGAGAAATGGTGCAATTCAGGAACAGTAAACAGCAAAGAAAGTTTGAGGCAGGGAAAAAAGGCATGGAAAGAAGAGAGAATTTTGAAGCGAGCTCGAGCCGCAGAATCTACCAACTAAAAATACTTTTCAAAAATTTTTTTCACTATGGGGATTGACTGGGGAAGATTAACTTGGGTTGACAGCAATTTTACAATCTTAGACGTATAAATCTTTTGACGAGTGCATTTAACGAGCCCCTTTAAATTTTGACATCTGAGTCTAGTGTGTGGGTATAATTTTCTGGAAGTGTTCGGAACCAGTAAGCTAACTAAGCCCTAACCGAGCAAGTGTACGGCGGGCAGTTTTTGCAATGAAAAATTTGACATCGCCAAGAACTCAGCTCTGGCAGTTGAATTGTTTAGAAATTGTGCTTAATCATTATTTTATGGAATTTTTGAAAGCCTTGAAAAAGTTAATTGCTTCAGTTGACCAAAAATGAGCAACCTATAAAAAACCAAAAGGCAATTTTTGGGTGGCGGATGCCCGAGCCGTAATTGACAATTGGTATTTTTGATTTGTGTCTGGTAGTAGCAGAGTTTGGTAGAATGAGATATTCAGAAATGTTATGTTTTTTATGATGACTCTCTGTACCTTGGCATGATATGCTCAAATACATGATGCGACATATTATTTAAATTCAGAATACATAATAAATTTTAATTTTAATTTTAGAACAGTTATTTTAATTCATTTCTAACTATTTTGTATTGAGTATGTTCAGGGGAGGATCTAGGAGTTCCTCGGGGGGGGGGGGGGGGGGATTTTAGAAAAACTTTAGGGTCAATCAGTCATTAATGAATACCTCAAAATAGTACAAAGGGGGGACCCTTTGTGTCGGCAGGGGGTCGAATCCCTGAGAAAAAAAAGAGGCGTCCCCCCGCCTTCCCAATACCCCCCCCCCCCCCCCCCCCCCCAAAAAATCCGCTGGTGAGTATGTTATTGTTTACATTGTATGGGCTCTGGCCGAACTGGACATGTATGGCCTGCTGTGGACTAGTTAGCAATGTATGGCCTGATGCATGTGTCATACACTGACTTTGTGTGTGGCCATTTAGTGTGTTGGACTCCAGACACAGTGCAGAACTTCAGTTTGCCCTGATCGTCCAGGGTCTTCAGTCCAAAAGTGTCTTGAGTGTAGTAGTGTAGCTGGTTGTAGGGTATGACGTTGAGGTCTGCGTCCCAGAAGGAGTACTGGGCAGTTTGCCATGGTTGAATCACCTCGTCTGTTGGTCCACCCACTAAGAAGTCAAGATTTTGAAGTCAAAATTAACAATCATAGATTCAATACAAAAATTCTTGAAAGATTCCACGACAATTTTTTGAGGTTCTTAAGACAAAATTCGCTAATCAAAATGAGACCAACTTATAGACTGCGAGGTCTGCATTAAATCTACAGATCTGTTTCAGTTGTCTCAGAAAGTTTGATAATTTTATCTGACCCGGTTGAATTAAATATGGTATAATAATGATGTCATATAATCGTTTTTCAAAAATTTGTCGAAATATAATCCAGTGTTGAATACTTGAGTTTTTAAATAACAAAAAGCCGAAAAAAATCTAAGCAGTTCCTTGTTTTTGAACTTCGAAAATTGTTAAGCGTAAAATGGACTAATGACTGCTCACGAGCGACCATTGTTAATAAGAACTATTCTTAAACCGAGAAAGAGCCTCACTATAAGAACAAAAATTATACCCAGAACGATTCTTACCAGACAATTGTTTATCAGTGCTTACCAAGAATGAGTCCTCCCAGACTGACGAAGTTCTCCTTGTACCTCTGGGAGTCATTGTGAGCAAGCTCGTTGTTCAAATAGGGCAAGTAGTTGTTCTCGGCCAAGTAGAGTGTAGTCTGAATTGGGTCGTGCCAGTAGTTGCAGACTGAGATGAGCTGGCCTGATTTGGTGTAGCAGATGTGGTACACTTCACCAGCTGTCACGTGATCGAAGAAGGAAGTGTCGTTCAAAAAGGGGATCCCGTACTCTCCCAGTCCTGAATTGAATCGATAATTGAAAAGTGGGGGTGGGGGCTATACCGGATGCCGGAAGAGGAGCAGCGCGGGGTGCTTTACCGGATATGTCGGATGAAAGGATTGGTCGTCAAGTTCTCTAAGTGTCTCTAACTCTTGTTATAATTTTCTCAGTTGTTAACCAAACTCATGACCAATTCAGTTCTGTAAAATTTCTATGCACGACCTAATTACCAAACTTTTTTGATTGAAAGAGCATTCAAATCCCCTTAAATCAGAATGGCAGTTCTTATTTGTAGATTTAGCAACCATCAGATAGAGAATGTCATTTTCTCCTGGGAAGAAGAGGGGGAGGTAGATGAGAGGCTGGTCTGTTTGCTGTTGCTTTGACTGACCTGGAGCAGATAGGGATATGAAGTTGTTGATGTTCTTGTTGTCCCCCTCCTCGACCACCCCTCTCGCAACTATGCCCCCCTGTGAGTACCCCAGCAGATCCACTGTGCCATAATGGTCAGTTATGTTCTTCAGAAGGGTCACGAACTCCGGTACCTTAAAGTAACAGAATGGTCAAATTTAGGGATCTACTTAACAGTTACAGTTGTCCCCTTTTAAGAAGGCGGGCAATTGTTAAGTAGATTAAGTTTTGTATTTTCGATCAATAAGATTGCAGCGAAATTCGAAATTTTAAATACAACACTCTAGTGCTAATTTACTGCTTTTAATTATAGGGGTGGCAATTCATTAGTTGATACCAAAAGGGGGGCAATTGCCTAGTAGATCCAAATTTAGTTCTTGAAAAGAGTCAAAAAGTTTTATGCCCCAACGAAGATATAGAATCTCTGAAATCAATATAAAAAAGATATTTTACCTCCGATCAATTTTTGCTTAGTTTTGAGAGCCTGAAAATTGCCAATTTGGTTATGCTCTGGACTAATTTATGCGCACTTTTAAGGTGTTATCCTTAATCCTGAAAGCGTAACGCGAGTTATTTATGTGTGGCGAGTTATCCCGCACAACAAAATTATTCCAAATTGATGTGAAGCTGGCTTATTGGTCGTATTAATTACGCACGATTGAAAATATTACACTCGATTTTTGAGTTTGTCCAAAATTTTTCCCCAAAACCTATTCGATATGGATCAAGGGATTGTCGGAACATTTAGGGTTTTGCCCTGATCTACGAGCAGTCTTGCAGCCTCTGGTGCGCGAGATTCAGTATTTGCTTTTAGTCTAAATTGTATAGTCTTTTGTTGCGAGCTCTCATATTACGCCAAATGGACTAAGTTAATATCTTACAACCCCATCGCCATGATTTAATTGTTCCGATTTTGACAAAAGTAACAGAAAATTTGTGATCGGGGTAGTTTTTTTTCTCAGACAAATTCGACTTTTTAACTAGCCATTTTTGACGAATGTTTTTCATGTCATCCGAAAAGTATTCTTGTCTTGAGCTTAAATTTGAAAAATTAATTCACCTGTTATCATTTTTCGTAAAATTATGAGGTTTTGAAGGTTGCCGTTTTGGCCAATATGGGACAATTAACGCGCGATATATTTCGCGCTATCAATGCGTAAGCGGAGATTTAATCCGTCTTAGAAATCATCCCAAATTGGTTACAGGAAACTTATTTACCATAATTGACTAGTTACAAGAAGCAAAAAGTAACACTCAGTACTTTAGATTGCGTGTGGTGGAATAATTTTTACAAAAAATCTCAAAAAAAAAGTTTTATTTTATTTCATTTATTTTTTTCGTGTTATTACTGCTTCAGAAATCTCAAAAGGCAGTTGGAACATTCAGAGTTTTGCCCTGATACGAGCAGCTTTTTTATATTAAGAATGGTTTGCGCTGAGTTCAAACAAGACGCTCGTGTATCAGGGCAAAGATCGTATATCGAATAGTTTTTTTGGGGAAAAAATACTGAAATACTATAAGTTTTGGACAAAATCAAAAATCGAGTCTAATAATATCAACCTTGCGTAATTAATACGACCGATAAGCTAGCTTCAGTTGAAATTGGAACAATTTTGTTGTGCAGGATAACTCGCCACACATAAATAATTTGCGTTACGCTTTCAGCATTATGAATAAAATCTTCAAAACGCGCATAATTTAGTCCAAAGCATAGCCAAATTGGCAATTTTCAAACTCACAGAACTTTGCAAAAACCACTCGGATGTCAAATATTTTTTAGATTTGATTTTAGTGAAAAATTATTATTTCGATCGCCAAAAAATGACTGAATAATAAAACCCGAAGCAAAATTATTCCGTTTTTTTCGAAAGTCGGAACAATAAGTACCAAAACCGGATTCTACTCATTCCTCTGCTAACGCACACTATAACTCTCTTGCCGAAGGCGAGCACACATGAGCGGTCGCTATCTGCCCCTAAGCTTTCAAACCTTGCGATTTTTCGCGTTTCTTATATTTTTCAGTTGTTTCTTTCACGAGTTGCACGAGTTGCAAATTTGATCATTTCACTGATACAGGAGAGAAAGAAAGAAAATCAATTCTGAGAAAGAAGTCATGCAAATATGCAAATTGGAAAACAATTGTTTAAGACAAATAACAAGAAAAAAATTTAAAAAATTGATTTCTAAAAACCCCAAAAATTAACTTCATTAGAGTAAAACTAAATTTTCAAGGATTAAATTAAGCATAAATAAGCTAATGTAAGCCTGCTCACTCGCTCGAAATTAGACGAAAAATTAAAAATTTCTAACCGGTTTTTCTCGACACCGAGAAAATTAAAAAAAAATTGATGTCGTTCGAATCACGAATGAAAGGGCTTTAATATGATATATTACTCAACCCAGACGATGATTGTTTGTGGTAGCTGATTTTGTGAGGAAAAATACTAAGACATATGCGAATACAAAGTTCCTCCCCATTTTCAATGGTCGGAACAACAACTGCAGTAGTATTTCAATTACCTGTGTGCGCATTGATACTATGCTGTAGTCATTGTTAAATGCGTCCAGAGAGAAGGTCTGGATTCCCGGGAAGTCAGCCTGGGCCCATGCCTCGATGTCTGACAAGTCCTTGTAGTCAGAATTGATTCCATGTATTAACACCAGTGGTCGGTAGCAGTACAAATTTTCCAGCAGACATGCAAAAACTATGAGCAATTGCTGAAAACACGATGGAAATTTCATTTTGACCATTTTACTATAGTTTAGACGAAAAAGAAACTCTTTTTCTGAGATGAATGTTTAGATTTTAATATTTGTCCCAATCAGAAAGGTCAATTGAAAGCAAACATCCAAGCAATTCAATCGTCGTGATGATTTTATTTGAGATTATTCTGACATTATTATAAATAATTGAGATGTAAAACACGTCTCTACATTGTATGCTAAACTACCAAATTCACTCAAAAAATAATTTCAATTGATCTGTATAAAATCACAAATAGTTAGGAGACCCGGTTTGAGGTTCGCGACTTATTTTAAGGCTTTCAGTGACGACGCGCCGAAGTTAGTATCGCCACAAAAAGTTCATAGTCTGGACAATATTTGTTAAAATTGCGGACAAAGTCTTAAAAAATTGATTTGGTGATTTATTACAAAAGGTAACAGGTCATTTACTTTCCACTTCTCTCAGTCTTTACAAAACAAAAATCGTCACAACGGGAATCAGATCCGAATCTCATGATTTGAAGTTTTCGGTAAATCGCTTGGGTGCAATAAAAGTAGCAGCCATAATGAATAGTGTATGGTAAGACATTACTAACTGCAGCAATAAAACCGAGTTCGAAATCGGAAAGTATGGTTTCAGGATAAAAAAATCCCAAAATTTTTCGAAAATTTTTTCCTGTAATTTTTGGAGGATATATTCGTACTGACTTTGTTGTTTGCCTTTCAATAGAGCCCAGCACACTGGTATTTTTCTCTCGCCAATCACTATAAAAAAGTAAAAATTTGGTCGTAGGGCCTTGGGGCCGTTTTAAACGTTCCGTCGCATAAAATTGTGTCAGCAAAAATTCGAGAGATTTCTCAGTACCAAAAATTGCAACTCCAATATCATGGTTCAAATAAAGCAAAAGTTTTTCATTTTATTCGATTGCTTTTTCGATAGCTTTTTCGTAAATTTGTTTTAAGCTAACTGTTGGATTTTTTCGTAATAAATCAAAACATAACTCGGAATTGGTTTTCGGAAATAAATTCAAAGTCTGGGTCATGAGGATGATTTTCGTCGTAAGATAATATTGAATTTTGCTGAATATTAGTTGAAAGTTTTGCGGAACAATTCGTGCATCTATAATAATTTTTCTTTTTTGATTTCCCACTTTTCGTAAATTGGTATCCTTGAAATATTAAATTTGTTCCAATCCGCCTTCGACCCGGCATTATGTGAAAACTCATCTGCTTATTATCTAAGCGGCCAATATTAACACTAAGGGCCTGGATTTAATTTCTTACTTTGAGATTTTCGCGATTTATGTATAGATTTTGAATACTCAATTCTGATTGGCTGAAAGTAAGCTAAAATTAATTTCAAGCGTTTGGTCCTTCAAGCATGAGGGACGCCACCATAATTTGAGATTTTTTGTGAAAATCATCCCCCCACACGCCATATAACGTACAAAGTGATAAATTTTGCTTCTAGTAACAAATCAATTATGGCAAATAAACTTCCTTCAACAAATTTGGAGCAATTTCTAAGACGAAATAAATATCCGTTTATGCGTTAATAGCGCGAAATATATCGCGCGTTAATGTCCCAAATTGGCCAATATGGCAATCTTTAAAACCCCGTAACTTCACGAAAAATGATCACAGGTGAAATATCTTTTCAAATATAAGCTCATGACAACAATATCTTTTGAATGATATAAAAAAATTCCGTCAAAATTGGCTACTTAAAAAGTCGAAATTTGTCTGAAGAAAAAAAACCCAGCCCGAGCACAAATATTCCGTTACTTTCGTCACGAAAGTCGGAAAAAAAGAACTAAAACTCATAACTAAAACTTTTTAAACACGTTAACACAAAATAAAAAAAGACTTGTTCACTGAATTTGGTAGCTTAATTGTATAGCATAAGCTAAATTGCGTAATTTGTAGATAATATTTCGAAATGATAGCAAAAACAAAATGTAACGTTGCGAAATTTGCACCAGTCGTTGATTAATTTTATGTATGCTTTATGCATGTTTTTGTCCACATTTTGTAATATTAAATCTTTAAACCTACTTCTCAACACATTTTTTCACAAAATCTTTCAATCATAATGGATCATAATAACGAAATGTTACACAAAAATATTCCATTAATGATGATAATTATCGAAAAAAGTTTGGTGCTGCTGATTCTGAAAACCTTAATATGAAGTTGCGCGCACGCGCGTATTTATATTTTTTGCTCCCTCTGGTCGAATGTGCCTATGTATTCCCAGAGACTGCATATGTTGATGGTATGATCGATTAAAATGTTCGTATTTGACTTTGTTCTGAGCTATTTTCCGATAAATATCTCTGGCTCTTTTTCCTTCCCCCCCCCCCACCTGCAAAATTTTACTAGTGAAATTTTGTTCACGTTATCCGAATGCTACAAAAATTGGTATGCGAACTATTTTGTTTTCATATTTAACCTTGTAAAACCCCTCGTTACACAATAAAATTTATGTTTATACGAGGCGGGGGGGGGGGGGAAGAGCCATATCTCTGAAAAATTTACGATTTGGATTCGATTTTTTTTAACGTTTGAACATTGGAGCGGCCACATTTTGGCACCACAAGTTCTTTTTCCTCCCCCCCCCCCACCACCTGCAACTTTTTACAAGTAAAACAAGTAAAATTACTGTTCCCAACAACAGATTCTTATGAAAATTGACATACGGGCTGATAAGGCCAAAACACATATTTGGTCTTTTTGATCATGCTTCTAAAACCACTCATTACACCATAAAATTGATGCACATGTGAGGTGGGGAGATGAAAAAAGAGCCGCGCCCCACAAGGGACATCATTGATAGTTCCTTTGGTTAGTGTTATTACTTCCGATTTAATTTTTTTATTGGCTAGATTCCCGGCAATTCTCCAGTCGTGAGCGAAAGACCGAAACAAAGTTCACAAATTGTTCAGGCGCTGATTTAACAATGATTCATTAATGTTTTCATTTTGCATGTTTTATGACATTGAATTCTGCTTTTAAATACCGAAGTTATTGTGAGTTCGATACTCTTTGTTGACTTGTAATTTCTGATAGTTATGGTTAATTTACGCATGAAGTTAAATGTTGCCAATTAACCACCTACCCGAAACCGATCTACCACAGCAGCAAAACGAGGCAGAAATAGTCTGAAAATTCCACATTTTGAATTCCGATATAGGTTTTCGCCATAAAGTTGTCGCAAACAGCTGCGTTTAGAAATTTTGTCTGATTATTTCACATCGCATCAATAATTATTTTTACACAGCTTTTTCAAGATGGAAATTTTTCTGCAGTTGGCGAAAACTGGCGCTTTTGAACCCGCAAAAAAGTAGTTATCCCACTTTTCATAACTTCACAGAGGATACGGGGAGACATTTAGACAGATGAAGCAGATGTGTGAAAGATTAGCCAGTGGCATGCTCAGAAAGGGATGGAAGAAAGGAGACGTGGTCTGCATTTTCAGCTGCAACAGTCCATAGTACTGTATTGCATTCCACGCCCTTGCAGCAGCTGGCCTCACCAGCCTACACGGTGGAGGGAACACAGCACCAGTTGAGGAACAGTGGCGCCAGGTCAGTGTTCCTTGTGAAGGAGTACTTACCCAAGGTTTTCCCCAACGGATCTGCCGTCAATTCCAGAGTTTCATGGAAAATCCGGTCATGGTTTCACTGCGGAGCATGGAGCATCTGGTTATCCTGGTTTGCATATCAGTAATCCTTCTGCCTCTCGGCAAAATTGCCCGAATTCAATTTTTTTTTTCTTTTTAAAGATGCAACCGTTACGGTTCCACTTTGTCTAGCTCCACAATTCGGGTTAATTATCAACCACCTTCCACTAGTCCTCAAGCTGGCTTCCTTCCGAACTCCGGATCAAATGTTGGTAACACAAATATGCAGCGTCCGATTAATCATTTTCCGTTAATGCTCACAGTTCCGCAAACGGTTGCGCCGTTTGTGCAGCAGGTTTCTTGGAACCATCCGAAAACTCATCCTTTAACAAGATCCCATTCTCATAATTACCGGATGCAGAATCCGCAGGCTTTTTGTGTACCACTCTGCCCTGCAAACAGCATGCCTGTTCGGGCCCATTTGAGCAATTCAGCATGTGGTTTTACCCCGCAAACAACTGTGGTGACACCCCATCAGAATGCCAAAGCGAATGTATTTTTTTTGGCCACTCCGATCGATCGCACGTTATGCGGGATCATACCGTATACCAGTGGTGGTAACGTAAACTACTCAAGCTGATCTCCAAAATACAAACCCCAATTACCAAGCGTTTTCTAACCCTCTTGTTGGTTTGTCATTTGAATTTCCGGTGGAGTAATCGACTTCGGCTCAAGACCAGCTGAATTGATGATAGTAACCGCAAAGATCAACTCCCAGAATTTAAGTTAAGTAATTTTGATGGTAACGCTGTGAACAGGCACGAACGGTTCGGAAAATTTACCTCAACAATCGACCTCAACAATTTACCTTCTGAGTGATGACGAGAAATTAATTTACTTAAAGACGCTCGTTACCGGAAAAGCCAAAGCGGCTATCACCGAATACAATTATAGTGGAGTCTCATACAAGGATGCAATTGCTACAATGCAGAGAAAGTTTGGCCAGCCTCATACTATTATTTGTGCTCATTTGGATAAGTTAGCCAGTTTTCCTCCTTTCAAAATGCATATTTCAGAGACTGTCATCAGTTTCTTCTCTGCCGTTTCAAGACTGGTTGCAGCCATCCAATCGTTGTGCTATCACAACGACTTTTTAAAAAATGACTCATCTAAACCAAGCTGTTGGCAAGCTCCTACCAAAAATGAAAAGAGCATGGCCAATGCATACCGTTAGTCATAATTGGCAGCATCCCAGCTTCTTCGATTTCAAAAATTGGATAAGAGAGAAAACAGAGGGCCAAAAAAGATTGCGCGCTGTTGGTTCTAGAGCTAAGACGGAAAAAACAGTTAATTGAAAACAACAAAGGTATTTGCATCAAACGCTAAGAAGCCTCGCGATAACAAAAGCCAGCTACTTATCCGCCGTGCCTGCCGTGTAAAAGAAAGCATGCCGTTTAGTCTTGCGCTGCGTTCAAGGAAAAGAATGCCACTCTGAGAGCCAAAT